GTGACCAACAGGGACCCCACAACTGCGTCAGACACCCCACAACTGCGTCAAACAAGGACCCTACAACTGCGTCAGACACCCCACAACTGCATCAGACACCCCACAACTGCGTCAAACAAGGACCCTACAACTGCGTCAAACAGGGACCCCACAACAGCGTCAAACAGGACCCCACAACTGCGTCAAACAGGGATCCTACAACTGCGTCAGACACCCCACAACTGCGTCAGGCACCCCACAACTGCGTCAAACACGAACCCCACAACTGCGTCAAACAGGGACCCCACAACTGTGTCAAACACGGACCCCACAACTGCGTCAAACAAGGACCCCACAACTGCGTCAAACAGACACCCCACAACTGCGTCAAACACGGACCCCACAACTGCGTCAAACAGGGACCCCACAACTGTGTCAAACACGGACCCCACAACTGCGTCAAACAGGACCCCACAACTGCGTCAAACACCCCACAACTGCATCAGACACCCCACAACTGCGTCAAACAAGGACCCTACAACTGCGTCAAACAGGGACCCCACAACTGCGTCAAACAGGACCCCACAACTGCGTCAAACAGGGACCCTACAACTGCGTCAAACACCCCACAACTGCGTCAGGCACCCCACAACTGCGTCAAACACGAACCTCACAACTGCGTCAAACAGGGACCCCACAACTGTGTCAAACACGGACCCCACAACTGCGTCAAACAAGGACCCCACAACTGCGTCAAACAGACACCCCACAACTGCGTCAAACACGGACCCCACAACTGCGTCAAACAGGGACCCCACAACTGTGTCAAACACGGACTCCACAACTGCGTCAAACAGGACCCCACAACTGCGGGACCCTGCAACTGCGTCAGACACCCGACAACTGCGTCAGACACCCCACAACTGCGTCAAACACGGACCCCACAACTGCGTCAAACAGGGACCCCACAACTGTGTCAAACACGGACCCCACAACTGCGTCAAACAAGGACCCCACAACTGCGTCAAACAGACACCCCACATCTGCGTCAAACACGGACCCCACAACTGCGTCAAACAGGGACCCCACAACTGCGTCAAACAGGGACCCCACAACTGCGTCAAACAGGGACCCCACAACTGCGTCAAACAAGGACCCCACAACTGCGTCAAACAAGGACCCCACAACTGCGTCAAACAAGGACCCCACAACTGCATCAAACAAGGACCCCACAACTCCGTCAAACAGGGACCCTACAACTGCGTCAAACAAGGACCCCACAATTGCGTCAAACAAGGACCCTACAACTGCGTCAAACAGGGACCCAAGGAGCGACAAAAATGGACGCGCTCTGCCTTAAATATTTCCTCTTTCAAAAATTGTAATTCATAACACTTTTGAGAGAAAAATTATGCAAAATTTACACCAAAATGTTCCTGTAGATTTTGCGCCTCGAGGGACACTTTAGTCTCTCTTAGAATGAGACGATTTTCTGCGCCATAAAATATTTTGCAAATATGAAGAAAAGTTAACTTAAAAGGTGTAGGTGTAGGCCTGGCGTGGGTGACTTGGGACGAGTTTTATAGTTAAGGTGAGGATAACATGGCGTGCACTGGTGAGGCATGAGTCGTGTCCCTCACCTCTAGTGAGGCATGAGTCGTGTCCCTCACCTCCAGTGAGGCATGAGTCGTGTCCCTCACCTCCAGTGAGGCATGAGTCGTGTCCCTCACCTCTAGTGAGGGTTGAGGCGTGTCCCTCACCTCCAGTGAGGCATGAGGCGTGTCCCTCACCTCCAGTGAGGCATGAGGCGTGTCCCTCACCTCTAGTGAGGCATGAGTCGTGTCCCTCACCTCCAGTGAGGGTTGAGGCGTGTCCCTCACCTCCAGTGAGGCATGAGTCGTGTCCCTCACCTCTAGTGAGGCATGAGTCGTGTCCCTCACCTCCAGTGAGGGTTGAGGCGTGTCCCTCACCTCCAGTGAGGCATGAGGCGTGTCCCTCACCTCCAGTGAGGCATGAGGCGTGTCCCTCACCTCTAGTGAGGCATGAGTCGTGTCCCTCACCTCCAGTGAGGCATGAGACGTGTCCCTCACCTCCAGTGAGGCATGAGGCGTGTCCCTCACCTCTAGTGAGGCATGAGTCGTGTCCCTCACCTCCAGTGAGGCATGAGGCGTGTCCCTCACCTCTAGTGAGGCATGAGTCGTGTCCCTCACCTCCAGTGAGGCATGAGTCGTGTCCCTCACCTCTAGTGAGGCATGAGTCGTGTCCCTCACCTCCAGTGAGGGTTGAGGCGTGTCCCTCACCTCCAGTGAGGCATGAGGCGTGTCCCTCACCTCCAGTGAGGCATGAGTCGTGTCCCTCACCTCTAGTGAGGCATGAGTCGTGTCCCTCACCTCTAGTGAGGCATGAGTCGTGTCCCTCACCTCCAGTGAGGCATGAGTCGTGTCCCTCACCTCCAGTGCGGCATGAGTCGTGTCCCTCACCTCCAGTGAGGCATGAGTTGTGTCCCTCACCTCTAGTGAGGCATGAGTCGTGTCCCTCACCTCTAGTGAGGCATGAGGCGTGTCCCTCACCTCCAGTGAGGCATGAGGAGTGTCCCTCACCTCTAGTGAGGCATAAGGAGTGTCTCTCACCTCTAGTGAGGCATGAGGAGTGTCTCTCACCTCTAGTGAGGCATGAGTCGTGTCCCTCACCTCTAGTGAGGCATGAGGCGTGTTCCTCACCTCTAGTGAGGCATGAGGAGTGTCCCTCACCTCTAGTGAGGCATGAGGAGTGTCTCTCACCTCTAGTGAGGCATGAGGAGTGTCTTTCACCTCTAGTGAGGCATGAGGCGTGTCTCTCACCTCTAGTGAGGCATGAGTCGTGTTCCTCACCTCTAGTGAGGCGTGTCCCTCACCTCTAGTGAGGCATGAGGCGTGTCCCTCACCTCCAGTGAGGCATGAGTCGTGTCCCTCACCTCTAGTGAGGCATGAGTCGTGTCTCTCACCTCTAGTGAGGCGTGTCCCTCACCTCTAGTGAGGCATGAGTCGTGTTCCTCACCTCTAGTGAGGCATGAGGCGTGTCCCTCACCTCCAGTGAGGCATGAGGAGTGTCCCTCACCTCTAGTGAGGCATGAGGAGTGTCTCTCACCTCTAGTGAGGCATGAGGAGTGTCTCTCACCTCTAGTGAGGCATGAGGCGTGTCTCTCACCTCTAGTGAGGTATGAGGCGTGTCCCTCACCTCTAGTGAGGCATGAGGAGTGTCTCTCACCTCTAGTGAGGCATGAGGAGTGTCTCTCACACTCTAGTGAGGCATGAGGCGTGTCCCTCAGACTCTAGTGAGGCATGAGGAGTGTCTCTCACCTCTAGTGAGGCATGAGGAGTGTCTCTCACTCTATTGAGGCATGAGGCGTGTCTCTCACTCTAGTGAGGCATGAGGAGTGTCCCTCACCTCTAGTGAGGCATGAGTCCCTCACCCACAGACACACTCCCACAGACACACTCCCACAGACACACTCCCACAGACACACTCCCACAGACACACTCCCACAGACACACTCCCACAGACACACTCCCACAGACATACTCCCACACACACACTCCCACACACACACTCCCACACACACACTCTTACAGACACACTCCCACACACACACACTCCCACAGACACACTCCCACAGACACACTCCCACAGACACACTCCCACAGACAAACTCCCACAGACACACTCCCACACACACACTCCCACACACACACTCCCACACACACACTCCCACACACACACTCCCACACACACACTCCCACACACACACTCCCACACACACACTCCCACAGACACACTCCCACAGACACACTCCCACACACACACTCCCACACACACACTCCCACACACACACTCCCACACACACACTCCCCACACACACTCCCACACACACTCACCACACACACACTCCCACAGACACACTCCCACACACACACTCACCCACACACACACTCCCACATACACACACACCCACACACACACTCCCACACACACACTCCCACAGACACACTCTCCCACACACACACTCCCACACACACACTCCCACCCACACACACTCACACTCCCACATACACACACTCCCACACACACACTCCCACACACACACTCCCACACACACACTCCCACAGACACACTCCCACACACCACACACACACACTCCCACACACACACACACACACACTCCCACACACACACTCCCACACACACACACTCCCACACACTCCCACACACTCCCACACACACACTCCCACAGACACACACCCACAGACACACTCCCACACACACACTCACACACACACCACTCCCACACACACACTCCCACACACACACTCCCACCACACTCCCACACACACACCCACACACACACTCCCACAGACACACTCCCACAGACACACTCCCACAGACACACTCCCACACACACACTCCCACACACACACTCCCACACACACACTCCCACACACACACTCCCACACACACACTCCCACACACACACTCCCACACACACACTCCCACACACACACACACTGAGTCTGGCCAAGGAAAAAAATAGCTTTTTGTGAAAAGTTATTATGGACGGCGCACTCCATCACCGCCCCTCCCTCCTCTCCCACCAAGGGGTCCCCAACTCTCCCTCCCTCAACATCTTGAGCAGGATCTCCTCCCAGAGAGCCAATTCGGCTTCCTCACAGAACTCGGAACTATCGATATGATATCTGCTGCACGCCAGCTCCAAGAAGAATGCCAACGAGCGAGATAGCGACCTCTTGGTGACCTTGGTCGACCTGACCAAGCCCTCCGGTGCCGTCAGCAGTGATGACTTGTGGAGCATAACGGAGAAGTTTGGTTGCTGACGAGCTCGTGATTGTCCAGCACTTGAACAATGGGGTGATGACGAAACACCGGACGATGGAGACTAGTCCAAAGCCATCCCAGCGAGGCACTATGGGAAGCGGGGCTGGGTGTTCTCCAACACTCTTCAGCGTGGCATGCTAGGCTGTACTCACCGATGCCTTCCGTGACTGTCAGGATGGAATACCCGTCAGATACAGGACTGACGGTGGGCCGTGCACCCATAGCCGTCTGTGGGCTGTCATAAAAGGTGGAAAAACTGTCATAAGTCTTCCTATTCCACGCCGACACAGAGCAAATGATGCAGCCCGAGATGGACTGTATCATGTCAACCTGCGACAACTTCGGCCGCATCATATTATTCAGACTTTATATAGGAAGTTGTGGTTATTTTAGTCATTATTGTTGTGTTGATTGTCCGTTAATTTGTTATTGCTTTCCCGGAGTAACTGACTATGGCTGCCGCTTCCGTTGTTGCTAAGTCCTGGTCTCATTTTTGCTTGAGTATGACTGATATACCAAGCGCTTGCTGCCACAAAACTGGGAGTCTCATCACTGGTGGCTCAAGCAAATGCCACCACAGTCATGTTGCTTGTAGCAGGAGCATCTACAGCCCCAGCCCTTGTAGGTAAAGCACTGGTAACCCACGTAATTGTAGCCTCATCTACGATAGCCTCCTAGCACTTGCAATACAGATGATTGTAGCCATTGTGCTGCTAGTTGCAAAAGTTCACTTGACCCAGAACATCAGTTTTCAGTTCAAAGTTAAGGGCAGCATCGCTTGAAGGCCGTGAATTAGTACGTGCACGGATTAACATTTATAATACAGAATTATGCAAGTCAGAGCAGCTGTACACCTGTTCAGTCCAGCCAGAATTGTCATGATTGGTTTAAATTGTTGCGAATAAGCTTTTGATTCTGACTAGTAATTGTTGCACTAGGAAGCCCAGCACTGGTAAACACAGTACTGGTAATCCCTACACTAGTAATCCTACATTAGTAATCCCTACACAAGTAATCTCAGCACTAGTAATCCCTACACTAGTAATCTCAGCACTAGTAATCCCTACACTAGTAATCTCAGCACTAGTAATCCCTACACTAGTAATCTCAGCACTAGTAATCTCAGCACTAGTAATCTCAGCACTAGTAATCCCTACACTAGTAATCACAGCACTAGTAATCACTACACTAGTAATCTCAGCACTAGTAATCCCTACACTAGTAATCTCAGCACTAGTAATCCCTACACTAGTAATCTCAGCAATAGTAATCCCTACACTAGTAATCTCAGCACTAGTAATCCCTACACTAGTAATCTCAGCACTAGTAATCCCTACAGTAGTAATCTCAGCACTAGTAATCCCTACACTAGTAATCACAGCACCAGAAATGGCTACAGCAGTAATCCCTACAACAGTAATCGCTACAGTAGTAATCCCTACACTAGTAATCTCAGCTCTAGTAATCCCTACAGTAGTAATCCCTACAGCAGTAATCCCTACAGTAGTAATCCCTACAGCAGTAATCCCTACAGCAGTAATCCCTACAGTAGTAATCCCTACAGCAGTAATCCCTACAGTAGTAATCTCTACAACAGTAATCCCTACAGCAGTAATTCCTAAAGCAGTAATCCCTACATCAGTAATCCCTACAGCAGTAATCCCTATAGTAGTAATCCCTACAGCAGTAATCCCTACACTAGTAATCTCAGCACTAGTAATCTCAGCACTAGTAATCCCTACATTAGTAATCCCTACACTAGTAATCTCAGCACTAGTAATTCCTACAGTAGTAATCCCTACACTAGTAATCTCAGCACTAGTAAACCCTACATTAGTAATCCCTACACTAGTAATCTCAGCACTAGTAATCCCTACACTAGTAATCTCAGCACTAGTAATCCCTACAGTAGTAATCCCTACACTAGTAATCTTAGCACTAGTAATCACTACAGTAGTAATCCCTACAGCAGTAATCCCTACAGTAGTAATCCCTACAGCAGTAATCCCTACAGTAGTAATCCCTACACTAGTAATCCCTACACTAGTAATCCCTACACTAGTAATCTCAACACTAGTAATCTCAGCACTAGTAATCCCTACACTAGTAATCTCAGCACTAGTAATCCCTACAGTAGTAATCCCTACACTAGTAATCTCAGCACTAGTAATCACTACAGTAGTAATCCCTACACTAGTAATCCCTACAGCAGTAATCCCTACACTAGTAATCCCTACACTAGTAATCCCTACAGTAGTAATCCCTACACTAGTAATCCCTACACTAGTAATCCCTACACTAGTAAGCCCTACACTAGTAATCCCTACACTAGTAATCCCTACACTAGTAATCCCTACACTAGTAATCCCTACACTATGAATGTAATCCCAGTCCATCCTTCTGAAGGCTCTGTGACTCGCTTGTCATTTCTCTCTAAAAGTCGTAATATTTTTATTATTTTCTCTGGCAGTTTTTACAGACCTTTTTCCTCCACAAACAAGAGGCATTAATTTATCATAATTTTTGATTAGAAATTAATGGTCTTCTGTTCTTCTGACATTTAGATAAGTTTAAAAAATTGACGATTTCAATTCACTATGAAAAAAGACATCACCTGTCGGCATGTTAAACTAATTAATTTATTTAAAATTTTACGGTCATATTTTTAATAACATGATATTTTCCTTAAACAACGCATGGGTATAAAATATGTTAATTTAAAAATATTTTCCCCGTAGGGTGTGTTTGTGGGTGTGTCATCTGTGTGTGTGTGTGTGGACCTACACCCCAGCGGCAGTGGGTCGGCTTTAGCTGGAAAATATATTCGTTTTGTTCAACACAGGCGACCAGATGCCTAAGGCTAGCCTTACAAAACTTTGCAAGGTAAATGGTCTGGGTTATGGGTAGTACATAGGATGGTCGTGGTGGAGCCCCATGGCTTCCCTTCGCGGGAAATGCTAATGCTACTAACTTCTAAGCACTTTAACTAAAAAATCCCTCCTCAGTCTGACTCATGTAGCATATTAAATGTTAGGATAGAAGGTGGTGAAAGCAGTACCTGGAAGATGGAAAGAAACGGGATGGAGAGGTAAAGAGAGATGAGAGAGGGAGGGAAAAGATTGGGAGAGAAAGAGGGGATGTGGGGACCCGGGCGCAGCCGGTTACTCCTCCTATTGTATTCCCTCCCACCCACACATCCTCCCCATCACCCCCAATACACCCTCCCCATCTCCCCGAATACACCCTTCCCATCACCCCCAACACACGATACCCAACTCTCGCCACTAACAATCCCTATTTGCTTCAACATTCACTCCCTGTTCCTTCCAGCTCATTCCCCTATTTTCCTTTCCCCCTGATTACACACACTCTCTTCACCTGTCTTCACCCTCCCTATATATATATACATATATATATATATATATATATATATATATATATATATATATATATATATATATATATATATATATATATTAGTATATTTTGGTAGCAGTCTTTCTTGTAAACATATATTATTAAATATGACCGAAAAAGTAAGATTAATAATTCTAACACGAATTTTCTCAATATTTCTTATGTTTCTTTTCACTGTCGATGGTAATTGAAAAATCAATTCTCCAAAATTCATTTTTATTTCTAGTAATCTTCTTCTTCTAGAAGATACAATTGACGATTTACTATAAAACCAAAAAAAACGGCCAATCTACTCATGAGAAACTCTCCAGACACAAAGCAGAACGCTGTAAAAGAGACCATGTCGTCTATGCCTTCAAATGCCCACTTGGGGACTGTAAGCCTCAAAGAACTCAGTATATAGGCAAGACAACAACATCTCTTTCCAGGCGATTAACGATGCATAGGCAACAGGGCTCCATTAAGGAACATATAATCTCTTCCCACAACCAGACCATCACCAGAGAAGTCTTAACAAAAAACACAGAAATCATCGATAGATACAGCGATAGCAGGCGACTTGACATCTGCGAGGCACTACACATCAAGAAGTCAACACCAGCAACCAACAGCCAATTAATGCACAACTATATTCTACCCACTTCAAGACTCCGCACCAATATAGAAGCATCAAGAAATATGGGCCAATAGGCCCTTTGCAGTTACTTCCATTCTTCCCTTTAATTTACCCAATTTATACCCATTATTTCGTGTTCTGTCTTGTGTTGAAAGTTTGTTTTCACCTCATCCAAAACTGTTGTAACATATCACCTCACCCAAATGCAGGTATATAAGATAATAGGTTAAGATGATCACTTCCTTTTGTCCGGTCGTGATGGTCAAGCGGATTAAGGCATCCTGTAGTTACCAGTTGCGTTGCTCCTGGGAGTATGGGTTCGAGTCACTTCTGGGGTGTGAGTTTTCAGTCGCATATAGTTCTGGGGACCATTCAGGCTTGTTCACATTTGTGTTCCTCACGTGTGCTCCAAAGAATGAGGTGATTTGATAAAATGCTATGCCCAAGATTACCATCCGAGTGCCGGCGGGGAAGTGGTTCAAATAGCTTCGGCTATCACTTCCTTTTGTCCGGTCGTGATGGTCGAACGGATTAAGGCGTCCTGTAGTTACCAGTTGCGTTGCTCCTGGGAGTATGGGTTCGAGTCACTTCTGGGGTGTGAGTTTTCAGTCGTATATATATATATATATATATATATATATATATATATATATATATATAAAGACTTTTTAAAGTCTTTTTATTAATTCGTCGCCTTGAGAGAAGTTATTCTTCATTTTAATAACATTTAGCATTAGCTTATGTTCGTTTACTTAAGAATGTGCGGTAATATAGATAGATTTCAGATAGATAGACAATAATATCTATATGTCTATATAGATAGACAACAGATAGATTTCAGGTAATGTCATAGAAAGTTCCCCGTCTCCTGTTCTAGCTGTATTTCATTATACTGATGTTGTTCTCTTGGTTGCTCAGTGTACTGACGCTGTTCTCCATGTCTCTCAGTGTACTGACGCTGTTCTCCATGTATCTCAGTGTTCTGACGCTGTTCTCCATGTCTCTCAGTGTACTGACGCTGGTCTCCATGTATCTCAGTGTTCTGACGCTGTTCTCCATGTCTCAGTGTACTGACGCTGTTCTCCATGTATCTCAGTGTACTGACGCTGTTCTCCATGTATCTCAGTGTTCTGACGCTGTTCTCCATTTCTCTCAGTGTACTGACGCTGTTCTCCATGTATCTCAGTGTTCTGACGCTGTTCTCCATGTCTCTCAGTGTACTGACGCTGTTCTCCATGTATCTCAGTGTTCTGACGCTGTTCTCCATGTCTCAGTGTACTGACGCTGTTCTCCATGTATCTCAGTGTACTGACGCTGTTCTCCATGTATCTCAGTGTACTGACGCTGTTCTCCATGTATCTCAGTGTTCTGACGCTGTTCTCCATGTCTCTCAGTGTTCTGACGCTGTTCTCACAGCATCTCGGTGTTCTGACGCTGTTCTCACAGCATCTCGGTGTTCTGATGCTGTTCTCACAGCATCTCGGTGTTCTGATGCTGTTCTCACAGCATCTCGGTGTTCTGACGCTGTTCTCACAGCATCTCGGTGTTCTGACGCTGTTCTCACAGCATCTCGGTGTTCTGATGCTGTTCTCACAGCATCTCAGTGTTCTGATGCTGTTCTCACAGCATCTCAGTGTTCTGATGCTGTTCTCACAGCATCTCAGTGTTCTGATGCTCTTCTCACAGCATCTCAGTGTTCTGATGCTGTTCTCACAGCATCTCGGTGTTCTGATGATGTTCTCACAGCATCTCAGTGTTCTGATGCTGTTCTCACAGCATCTCAGTGTTCTGATGCTGTTCTTGTGGCGTTCCATCCCATCTCAAACCAGATTATGGTATAAGTTGGTCTGTTCTGAGAATGTCTGAAGAACTAATTAACCAATCTGATGAACATCTGCAATAGCAGATGTTCTCTTGTGGGAACGTATTTTGCTCCAGCTGCTCTGTTAAGTGGACACCTGTATGGCCAGCTGCTCTGTTAAGTGGACACCTGTATGGCCAGCTGCTCTGATAAGTGGACACCTGTATGGCCAGCTGCTCTGATAAGTGGACACCTGTATGGCCAGCTGCTCTGATAAGTGGACACCTGTATGGCCAGCTGCTCTGATAAGTGGACACCTGTATGGCCAGCTGCTCTGTTAAGTGGACACCTGTATGACCAGCTGCTCTGTTAAGTGGACACCTGTATGGCCAGCTGCTCTGTTAAGTGGACACCTGTATGGCCAGCTGCTCTGTTAAGTGGACACCTGTATGGCCAGCTGCTCTGTTAAGTGGACACCTGTATGGCCAGCTGCTCTGTTAAGTGGACACTTGTATGGCCAGCTGCTCTGTTAAGTGGACACTTGAATGGCCAGCTGCTCTGTTAAGTGGACACTTGTATGGCCAGCTGCTCTGTTAAGTGGGCACTTGTATGGCCAGCTGCTCTGTTAAGTGGACACTTGTATGGCCAGCTGCTCTGTTAAGTGGACACTTGTATGGCCAGCTGCTCTGATAAGTGGACACTTGTATGGCCAGCTGCTCTGTTAAGTGGGCACTTGTATGGCCAGCTGCTCTGTTAAGTGGACACTTGTATGGCCAGCTGCTCTGTTAAGTGGACACTTGTATGGCCAGCTGCTCTGATAAGTGGACACTTGTATGGCCAGCTGCTCTGTTAAGTGGACATTTGTATGGCCAGCTGCTCTGATAAGTGGACACCTGTATGGCCAGCTGCTCTGTTAAGTGGACACCTGTATGGCTAGCTGCTCTGTTAAGTGGACACCTGTATGGCCAGCTGCTCTGTTAACTGGACACCTGTATGGCCAGCTGCCATGTTAAGTGGACACCTGTATGGCCAGCTGCTCTGTTAAGTGGACACCTGTATGGCCAGCTGCTCTGTTAAGTGGACACCTGTACGGCCAGCTGCTCTGATACGTGGACTCCTGTATGGCCAGCTGCTCTGTTAAGTGGACACCTGTATGGCCAGCTGCTCTGTTAAGTGGACACCTGTATGGCCAGCTGCTCTGTTAAGTGGACACTTGTATGGCCAGCTGCTCTGTTAAGTGGACACTTGTATGGCCAGCTGCTCTGTTAAGTGCATGGACACCTGTATGGCCAGCTGCTCTGTTAAGTGGACACCTGTATGGCTAGCTGATCTGTTAAGTGGACACCTGTATGGCCAGCTGCTCTGTTAAGTGGACACCTGTATGGCCAGCTGCCATGTTAAGTGGACACCTGTATGGCCAGCTGCTCTGATACGTGGACTCCTGTATGGCCAGCTGCTCTGTTAAGTGGACACCTGTATGGCCAGCTGCCATGTTAAGTGGACACCTGTATGGCCAGCTGCTCTGTTAAGTGGACACTTGTATGGCCAGCTGCACTGTTAAG